AGGACACCACGGGGGAGGGGTTGGTACTTAATGAGCGACGAGTCTCGGTAATAAACAAAACACAGAAGACATCTCTCCGGATAACTTCCTCTGTGAATAAGCAAATTAGCCAGTAACAAGGGAATTGCGTGTCTGTCGGGTATGTTAGTCAAACACCGGACTGAAAAGGAATTGAAGAACAGTCTACTGCTAAACATCTTCCTTTTTATCTCCTCATGCGGGGGAGAGGTGTCTGGAGTTTTTGGGGAAGGTAGGCTTCTCGGAATCAATGGATTCATGCCACATTCTTCATACGTACTGAGAGAACTGATGGCTTTTCTATGTATCTGGCCATCTTGAGTCTTGTCCTGCTTTTATTTTTAAATAATAATACAAAAATTGGTTTTTTGTTTTAGCTTTTCCTTGGGAATCATGAATACCCGGCAGCAAAGCAAAATTATCTACTCCTGGTATGGAAAACCCATGTGCTCAGACAGAAAACTGAGGACTTTGCAGTACAAGTAAATAACATTTATTTCTGGATTGCTCAGGGAAACTTAATCAATGAAGGTTTCTTTACCTTTCTGACATGGTTTATGTTAATGTGGCAGTCAGTGAGAATGTGAGTAAGGTTTTGAGCATTGTGTCATGACACTATGCGTATAACAAGAACGTTGTTACTAAGCTCTTGAATTAGAAATTGTATAATGTATAAAAATGTTTTAATTAAATCTGTGAATAAGTTTGAAATATACATGAAAGCGTTTAATTGGAAACTCAATTGTAGGCTTTGCAGGAGGGAGCGTAACTAGCTGTAAGATTGACAGGCCATCAGCTTTAATGATATGTGGATTATAATGAATATAAAATCCTGCTAATCTGCATGTGTGCATCACTTTCTAGGGGAATCCTTATTAAATCTGAAAGAAGCGGAAAAGAAACATGTATACAACTTGGCGAGTTTATTTTAGTAGAAGGGGAGAATGCAGATCAACCTTTTGTGGCACAACTTCTGGATTTATATGAAGATGGTAAGAGAAATAAAAATTTACCTGTTGGAGAAATCTTAAAATGTTTTAAGGATACCTATTTCATGGGGGTATATTTAGCCATAACCTCATATCACTGGCCTAATTTATTAAGGAAATTAGGCTTTGGTAATCACTGTATCTGTATTCACATGCTCCCCAAGTATTTTGGGCTGATGTCTAATTCCAGCTAAAGTTCATAGATAACAGAGAGCTTAAAGACATTAAATTTTTACAACCTTTTGCTTAGCTGTCTAATTTAAAATAAATGATCCTTGAGGAAGACTGTGAGCTCATGCTTTATTTAGAGATTGGAGAATCCAAATGGAGCAAGAGCACTGCAAGCCTGGAACTTGCATCTTATTAGACATCAGGGAATTTAGCAATAAGGCACAGGGCTAAATAAGTGGGGCTCATTACTTCAGTCCCTTGTAGAACTCCTTGTTTATAGATCAAGGTAGATATTAAAAGATAAATCATGGAAGGTGAGTGATACAAAGGCTATGTCTGAGTCTGAATTAGAAACTACTCATTAGCTGTGCCTGATTTCTTTGGACGGCTTTTGTTGTTTGTTTTGGGCCATCATAATAATGTTTTGAGGTCTTTTTTAATTCTTTACTTTTTAAAAACGTAAATACATATCACTCCAACTTATTTATTTACTAATGAAGATTTGTTGTAATATAACTGAATATTCTTTTCATGCTGGAATGAAACCTGTCAAACTTCCCTGAAAACAAGATTTTTCTTTCGTTACGTATCTTTGACAAATTTGCTCAAGATATGTGGCTTTGTTTTTCATTCAGAGATGAAGACCTTAAAATGTAGAGAGGGACTTAATATTTCATTGTTATATGTTCCAAATGTTTCTTTTAACTATCCACACTGAATCTGTTCGTAGTGTTTATTCAGACTTCTAGACATTTCAACAGCAGGATTCTCTGGTTTCTTAGGCATTTAATAAATGTGTTTCTGGTTTACCTCTAAAATAACATTGAAATTACAAAGACTGTTGTGAAATTTCTCGCTTCTCCTTTTATGTCACTCTTTTCAGTTAGTGGGGTCTGATTAGATCATATTTATGCAAATAAGGAACCTCTTAATTTGTGCTAGTAAATTGGTGGATCAGCTGGTCTGCAAGTATTTTGTGATTGGAGACCATATGTAGGTGTTATCTTAGTCCTTAAAAGTCTCAACTCAAACATTTTAATTGAGCTTAGAAAATGGGAATTGTAATCTCTTATCAGATGCTTTCTCACCTGTGTCCAGGGAGGTTTTCTATCCTTGATGGCATTTCAGCTAAAGGCATTGAGGTCTAGTAATTACTATTTGTGATACAATGAAATTATTAATGTTCACTGACTTTTTTTTGTTGTTACAGGTGTTCAGCAGAAACATGCAGTTGTGCAATGGTTCTCTCATATTACAGAGATACCGCAGAATAAACGGAAACTGCTAAAAAGAGAGGTTTCTCCCCAAGAGGTGTTTTTTGACCAAGTTTCTGGTTATGACACTGATATAGCTGTGGAGACCATTATTAAAAGCGTCATGGTATGTGCTGCAGCCCCTCTATGCATAGAGGGAAGAAAGAAAGAAACAATCTGAAAAGTGTAATAGAACGGTGGAGCTGCTTTATTTCCTCCTAAACCAAATGTGTGATGTGTATTTGTTAATGTAGCTAATATAGGATAGTTGAAAACTGCTGATATTCTGTCTGTCTTCCATCCCAAAATTACTTTGGTTGTTGGCAGCCAGCTCATTTAAAGGTTTGTGTGGAAGGAAGTAATGTGATGGGAGTCCTGTAGTGCCATAAACTTATGCTAGTGTAAGTGTAGGTTGGAGGTGTTGCCCTATATAATGAAGTTCCAATAAGAAGATCTGTGAATAGAAAATAGTTGAGTATTAAATTAACAGTAAATATTAAGGGGGGCATGTGTTGGTATTTTTTGTTCTTACAGGTAATACCCCTACATCTGCGGGAGGAACTACCTATTCAATTAAACAAGGAACAAACTTTCTATGTAAAACAGTCTTGGGATGGGAAATGCTTTAAGGCTTTGTCCCCTGACACATTCTCTAAGCTGAAAGAAGCTAGTAAGAAAGGAGGTGGCATCCCAAACTCTTCAAACTCATTTATTCCTTCAGACGTCAATTCCCCCCTGAAAAAAGAGACGGAGAGAGTTATTCAGAGTGCCTCAAAACCAAAAAATGTTGAATTGGAAATAGAATCAAAACATTCTGCTTCCAAGTCCTCCCTTGCTAAGGAGAGACATTCGCAAAGAGTGGCTAATAGCTTCAAAACTCCAACAGCAAGGAAGAAGTTACAGTTAAACAGTATGTATATGGCAATATTCTGTCTGTCAGTAGTTTTGAACGTAGTATGTCTTGTGCCTTTTCATTTTGGGTAGTTCAAACTATGGTAATATTCAACCTCAGTATTTTTAGCTGACTTATTCAGGCTTTGGGGTTAGCCCAAGCCTTTTTTCGTGCATCAGTTGTTTGATGTCTTATTTCAAGCAACACTACTTCTTATATCCAATGACTGATGCAAATGTTTTATTTGTAACTGGGAAGTCTGAGTTAAAGTGCTTGTTGGCTTAAATACTACCAATCAGCCTAACTTAACTTCAGAACATCTTACTTTCTTTAGTCTTCTGATGGTGCACTAGAATGTTTGTGTTGGACTGGTAGAATAAGCACGTTTGATCCTATGTAACATGCTCTATTTTCAAACTGGAGCCTGAGTAAAGTTGTAAGTGGTGGAGGTGGGTTGTATTCTGTTTAGTCATCTTTTTAGAGGAAGTGTACGCCTTCTGTATGTATTCAGTTCCTTGTTCCTGCAGTGTAAAGCCCATTCCCTTTCATTTAAATGACAGCCACTGAGCCAGCCATACCATGTCTTCTGATAGTTAACCAAACCAGCCAGATTAAAGCCTGACAAAAGTTCATTTTGCTCTTGATTCCTAGGTCCCACAAAGTCTCCTAAAGGCAGGATCCTGGGATGTGACGTTTTGGAACTTTTGGATGACGACTGTGATGCTGTAGCACCATTAGAACCATCGGCTACCAAAAGAAAAGTGAAATTCACTGGCATTTTAGGCTCACCACCAAAAATACCTTGCGCCAATGATAAGTCAAAGTCAGTGTCTGATGCTGCAGAGCACAGCCAGAGTTTTAGTGATACAATACGATTATCCCCCTATAAGGTCAAAAACTCCAGTGAGAAAGCCAAGAATCATAACATAAAACATGACATTATATCGTAAGTGATCGCCTTTTAATAATTATTTGTGTACGGGATTTCTGTTTGTATGTAGTTCTCTTAAAGCACATTTGTGAAAGACTTCTAGAGAGAAAAGCAGGTGAAATCTGTGTGTACCATGTTTTGCCTGTTGAGATCATTGAGAGAAAGGGGGATAGCCTAAATGGTTACAGGTGCACTGTGGTGAAGCTCTAGAAAGCCTGTGACTTGGAGGTGAATGAATGATTGGGGAGATCATAAGAGGAGCTGACTTTAAAGGTGGACACAAGCAGTTTGTGGTTACAAGAACAGAGAGAGGAGTTTAGGTAATGGTAGGATGATATGAAAGGGAATTGAAGCCATATTGATTGTTATTGTTGTATTGTTCATCAGCATGGATAAAAATCTGTTTCCCTGCAGTCACTGTACGTATGTCATACAGGCTCAAATGTGCCCTACTTGTGACAACTGTTGAGATACGCTGACCTATAGAAAGGGATGCAGTTGGCCTCATGAGAGTTCTCATGATAATTGTATGTATACTTTCATGCTGATTTTTATATAGAAAAGAAATCAAAACTCAAAAAGTGTAATTGTTTAAGTGTATCTTTGCATGGCCTTTAAAAATGGCATTAAGCTGGGGCAGGAGGAGAATGGATCAGACTTTCTTCTATATAATATTACAGGAAGCCAGACCCCAGTCATGTTCCCCTTTTCCTTCTTTCAAAGAGTAAAGATGTGGGTGTAAGACTTGGTGGATCTGCGCCCCATTTTTATCACTTACTGTATAGCAATAAAACATTTACTTTTCATTGATAAGGTAACGGCATTTCAGTGGTATTTATACATCTAAAAAAATTTCTGAGAACTGTCTACAAATAACTAAAGTAATTCTTAAGTAAAGACATTTCATTGTGTCCTTTGAACTAATAGGAAAATTGTATTAACAGTGAAGTGTTTCAGTGGTGTTGGGATGAAGTGCCCAAGAAGACAATCAAGGAATCTCAAAACACAAATAGAAAAATCTACTCCAAAGGGCAGATCAAAGAGATGCCCAAAGAAAATCACATTCATTTTCTCTTTCTCTTAAAAAAACCCAAACAAAACAAAAACCCCAAACAACAACAAAACCCCACAACCAAACAAAAAAACACTACTGTTTTGAGCCCCTGTCCCTTCAGTTTGGCAGTGTTATATTTACAAAGTAATTCAGATGCTAATTCAACTACACCAGCATCTATTCAGTGCTCTTCACCCATGTACGTGTGTGTAACTGGGGAAGTGAGGGAAAGCTGTTCATGTGCAGCAGCTGTCAGTCAATGTGAAATAAGTTGCTATTGCCAGCTGAGGGTGCATCAGGAAACAGAGTGGCGTAGTGTTGATAGGGCCCAAGTCAGGGACATCTGTTTTGAACTAGTGCAGTCATGATTGTCACAGTATCATAGGTCACCTAGCAGCTCTGACTTGTGTGGGCTCAGGGTCTCTTGTTAGACCTAGCAGCTTTCCTCAACTGGTTCACAAAGCTTTATAGAAACACACTTTACTATAAAAATCTTTATAGTACAGACCATGAATGACCTATAGTAAATATTCTGAGATTTGGGGTTGGTTGTGTTTTGGGTTTTTTTGGCGAAGATGTATTGGAGAGTACAAGAGAGGGGAAATTGTGCTGCCAGTATCCATGCCATAGCCAATGTGTAGATAATTGTAAACAAGAATTCATGCTGGATTGAGAGCCATAACAATTGAGCCTGAAGTTTGAAAGGCCTTCTCTCCATCTTTACAAGCGTGATGCGAAGAGGACATGCAAATGGTTTTGTGTTCTTTATTTACAGTTTAATTGGACATCAGGAGCTGCGTAGTCAGAGCCCTGTGTTGACCCCTCGTTCTCGTAGACTATGTGCAGAAAAAACATGCGCTCTCATTACTGAGCAAATCAGGTAAACTTTTGCATCCGTAGTATCTTATACAGATTGATAGCTTGAAGCCTTGAGAGTTTGTCTAGCTTAATATTGAAATGCAAATGGTTCTAGAAGCACAGCTTAATTGCAGTGCGAGTGAAAACTCTTACATTCAGAAATACAAAGCTGATTCATAGTGTTCATCAGAAAATTGACTTCCTTTTAAACCAGGCTATTAAATAGCAATGGAAAATAGCAGCTCAGGTGGAAAATATGTTGACTTTCTGATTATGGTAACTATGGAAAAAGCTGCAAGTGTGCAAATGACACTTTGTCATCACGCTTTGTGTGTAGACTTGTATGTATTTTTTAAAATACTCACGTCATTTCTATTTCTCACAGCTTATTAAATAAACTAGAGTTGAACCAAGAAGAGGATTTTCTGTCTAACTCAGACAGCTCTTACTCTTCGAGTAGTGAGGAAGAAGAGAGTGATGTGATCTGTACACCAGAAAAGAAAACTAAATCAAGCAGAATATTCAGCACCCCAAAATCTTCAAGGAAGTCTGCAATTCACACTCCTAAGACCCTGAAGAAAACTGTAAGGTTCCATATAAAAGAGCTGTTTTTATTATTTCTGAACCAGTTATTTGAATGCTTGATGCCTATGTACCAAAATTAAGTACCTGAACCCCATAGCTTTTAATTAAACATTATCTTGGTTAATATGATCTTTGATGCGAGTAGGTTATGCAAATGTATAAAACACTTGTGTGTTGTCTATGTTGTAACAATGTTTATCAGCAAGCTTTAGCCTAAACAGGGAAAATGTTAGATTGGACTGGAGCCAAACAAACTGATGAATCCATTTATCGCCACCATTTTTACTTCTATTGTAAGCTGCTCACTGAGACATTTTAGTTCTATTTCTGTATAGTCTTTTATTGAGTGCAGTCTATATATACAGCAGAAAGATGCAAGACCAACTTCATGCTTGGCATTATAACAATGTGCAGATGGTTACCAACACGAAAGGAATGCTCTGCAGCGTTCATGGCCGCACCAAGAGCGTGGCCAGCAGTTTCTTGTAGTGTGGCTGCTGATGGAGATGAGATACCAGGCTACATGAATCTTAGGCCTGACTGATTAAGACTGTGTTCAGCACCATAGCTGGGTACATACTGTCAATGGCTAATTTTTACTCTGTGTTGTATGAAATGTCTAACACAGAAAACCTAGCATAACAAGAACTTGTAAGGACAACAAAGAAGAATAATTAAGAAATATTGTATGGCTTTTTTGTTTGGACAAAGAAATTCAGATAGATCAGTTTCTAATGGCTTGCTGTTTCTTAAGAATCAGATCCTTTTGTAACACAGCACTTCAGAAAAGCATTAACAGTTTAAAAATTCTTCAGACAGTTAAAAGGTATAATTGCCTTTGTCACCACCCCTTTTCCAGTTTCTTTTTTCTCTTAGGAAGAAAAGACCATAAGGCTTTTTGGTAATTCCCTTTGTAAAGACTGTTTCTCTTTTAATCTTGTACACTGGCATCTCTGGGTAGTTTTTGTGCTTAAGTGATGTTTGGGAAACTTGTATGAATGATCAGTCTCCAATAGAAATTGCCGTATGTGCAAATATGTTTGAGGTTGTAACTTTTCTTTGCAGTCTTTACCAGGAACACCCAAGACACCCCGGAATGCAACTCCTGAAATTCCCAGGCGCAACCATGAAGCACAGAAACCAGCCAATATACTAGAAGAAGCCAGATTAAGGTAATATGTGCTCAACAGAGGAAAGCCTCTTTTTGCATCAGGTATGCAGAGCGGTAGGCTAGGCTGAAACAGGGAAATGTCATCTTTACCATATTGAATAAACTTGGTAAAAATGCACTGTGTTTTGATACCAGAAGAGTGCTTATGAATTTACAGTGCAATTTACAAATTTACAAATACTAGTAGTATTTACAATACTACTTTTACCGTTTCAAATTATTGTAACTACTCCATGCTAAGTTCTTCAGAACTAGGTATCTGTCTTTATTCAGTGCAACTTTAGAGAAATAAAAATCCTCTCTTAGTAGCTTTAGATTGTAAAAGTACAATACCTGTCTCCTCTTGGTGTGTAAAAAAGCTTTACAAGTATCATTATAGATCTTCACAGTGGGAAAAAAACACATTCAGGATTGACTGTATCTTTCAAACTGAGTTTTAGTTTTTTCACAGTTTCCTATAAGGCGTGTCCCCTGTTTTGTCCTACCTCTACAGTGACTTACATTTTTTTTTTGTGTGAATTGCAACAGCTAGGTCTTTATTGCTGCATGTTCATGCTGTTTCTTTATGAAGATGACATTCAGCCCTCTTAAAACTTAAAATCACACTAGGCTATTTCTTTTGGGATACTTGACATTGTTGTTCAGACTTAAGGTGTTTAAGAGAGATTTGAAAAACTACACACAACTGAGAGAGGTAGAACATCCAGCTATGTCTTCCTTGGTAGTCCCTTCAGGTAGAACTGTGAAAATGCAACTCTTAGACCTCCTATTTCAATTTTCTTTCTCTTTTTCTTTTTTAATCAAAAGGCTGCATGTTTCTGCTATCCCAGAATCTCTGCCTTGTCGTGAGGAAGAATTCCAGGATATCTATAACTTTGTGGAAAGCAAACTTATTGATGGTACAGGAGGGTGAGTTTGTTGGTGAGACTATAATAAGATCACATCTACCTATAGCATAACAGCAGTCAGACAATCAACGCTACTTTTATTTAAAAAGTTATCATCATTTGGCTGAATTAAATTTCCCGATTGAGTTTTTCTGGTATTTTTCTTCCTTAAGAACGGTTGCGCATAGAAATAATGCGGGTTCCTTTACTGTGCAGATTCAAATTGAAGACTGAAATAACTAGTCAATTTTAGATGTCTGGGAAACCATTTTTTAAGAGGTAAATTACATTTATAAAGTATTTTAGGTGGTTAATTGCTTCAGTAATAATAAAAATATTCATGATCCTCCAATGTATTATGTATCCCAGTTTGCAAATAAAGTAACTGAAATGTAAGGAATTGCCTGAAGTGACAGAGGAGTAGTATTCAAGGCTGGTCTTGGAGTCCAGGAATTCCAGATCATTGATCCTAAGAGTGTTATGATTTTGTTCAGACTGCTGAAAAGGCTTTCTGCTTTTGTAGGTGCATGTACATTTCTGGAGTGCCTGGAACAGGTAAAACTGCAACTGTTCATGAAGTAATTCGCTGTCTTCAGGAAGGTGCAGAAAATGATGACCTACCATCATTCCAGTTTGTAGAGATTAATGGCATGAAGCTGACTGACCCTCACCAAGCTTACGTGCAGATACTAGAGGTAAGTAAAGCCTCTTGAATGGCTCTCTGGTTTGAAAGAAGAAGAAATCTTATGCTTTGCCATGAGATCCTCGATGTGTTACAGGATTCAAGTCACTTTAACATACCAATATTTCCAAGGAGTCCCTCTGAGAGACAGTTTGCTTTTATCTTAGAGCATGTTAAAAAATAATTAACTTAAGGCCATGGCCAACTTCTTGAACTATTTTGCCTTCAGCTGCATAAGGGCAGTGGCTGGGAAATAGCCTGATTTATTACATCCAATCAGGTTAAAAAAATAAATCTAAAGCATATTGTTTTTATATTTTTCCCCTTGTTTAACTTTTTCTACACATGTATGTTTAAAAAGCACAGAAATGAGAACTGTGGAAGTCACTGTAGCAGTGGAATGATTACTAAGAGGGTCTTAATGGTTAATTGTTCTGTCATCATAGCAATCCAGCTAAAGAGGTACTATTTCTGTCAACAATACTGTATTTTAGATTTCCATGGCAAACTAGTCTGCAGCATCTCATCTGGAACTACTGACTGTGCTTGTGTTTGTATGGGTGTGAATTAATCTTCTGCAGGAGGACTGGATTAAGATCACCGAATAGGCATTAGACATTAGTAACTGCTCAAGAACTTTGTCAGTCTAGGATAACTTTAAGCCAGTGACCTGGAAATGAATTTTTGGTTTCCTGAAGAATCTAGTTTCTTTTTTTATGAACTTCTGCCCCATTTATTTAAGTTTCATATCTTCCAACTGAGCAGGAAGTGGCATACGTTGTTCTAATATCCCTGTCCTCATGGTTGGGAGTTAAATTTACATATTTGCATCCTTTCCTCAAACCATCATAGACAGTGTCTTGCTGAAGGATTCATTGTAGCCAGGTCACTGTTTCTTTAGCACAGTGAAATGCTTTACGACAATTATCTCATGGTAATGCTAATGTATTTTAACACTGCTTGTTCCTATCCTGTTCAGCATGCATCTTTAAAACTAATAAAGGATAGGCATTTGGAAGTAAAACTTGTCGCCCTCCATGGGCCCTGAACTCTTCAAGCTAGCCCGGCTAAATAGCCTTCAGGGGAGCACATAGTCAAATAAACCACTTATTTCTCTAGTTCCTCCTGCCTCAGCTGTTATGCAAGTACCCTAGCTAGGCTAGGCTGCCACTCCTTTTCTGATTGCTGCATCTCTTGCTGTGGGTCAGTTTCAAGCCCCAGTTTCCTGATGTTTTTTTTGCATCACTGAAGCAAATTCTGGAGTGTTCACTACTGCAGTTACCTTACTGTCATAAGAAAGTTTATAGAGAAAGCACAGGGACAGGAAGGCCTGGACAGGTAAAGGAGATAAGATTAAATACTTGGGTACGTACAGTAAGCGTGCCAATTCCACCACAAGAAACTGAACTCTGTGGTATATTGGACGCCCAGTTCCAGAGCTGTAGAATCAGGATCCTCTGGGATCCAACTGTTTTATAGGACAGATTCAGACTGTCCTGACTCAATTGCAAATGTGAAACAAATATAGATTATACACTATTGTCATGCTCTGGCCTGTTTTATAATTATGAAATCTAAAGGATTTCATAATTCAGTTTTTAAGGGATTATGGAGAACAAAATTTTCTAATGCAGTCTCCATTTTACTTGACGGATGGACTCTGAACTATGTTGCAGGATTGGTTCAGCATATATAGTGTAATTTTGAAGTGCCATGCTTTATTTTCTGTGTATCTTTGGACCTGCAGGGGAAGAGGTAGCATACAGTCAGATCATCTGTTTTGCCACATGTATTGTTGCAGAGGCAGTTCTTGTTGAAGGTGTCTTTTTAGCTTCAAGTTGAATAAACTATTTAGTTCTAGCTCCTGCTGACTATTCATTAATATTTTAATGGGAGTCAGAGATTACTGAAGTCAGGCTATTCTTGTCAACTGACTTAGGTTTCCAGTAGGTGTTTTGTGTTCAGAAACATCCTTGAGGTATGCTAGGCTTAGAGTCCCCCTGAGACTGGGTTCAAGATTTTTTTAATGAATCTATCTTTAAGGCAAATTGCAGGAAATTCTAATGGCCTTTCATTTTAGCTAAGTATTCTTTTGTTTCCATTCTCCTTTATGAACAGTTTCTGGTAGACCTGAGTCTACCTATGAGCTGCTTTTTTTTTTTTTTTTTTTTTTTTTAAACCCCCACATCCCCCCTGAAAAAAATCCAGATGCTTGCTGTTGAGTGTTAGAGAACAGTTAAAACTAAATAGGCATTAAACTTCCTATTTCCAGGGGTTTGGTGTGTTTAACCTGCAATGTTGTTTAATCCTTGTCCAGTTACTGACAGGTCAGAAGGTGACAGCAACACATGCTGCAGCACTGCTGGCAAAACTGTTCAATACACCTGGACCAAAGAGGAAGACCACAGTGCTGATAGTGGATGAGGTGAGACAAAATCCTTCATTCTTTTTCCTTGAAGTATTGTAAGAAATGAGTTTCTGGAGGATGAAAAAAAACATGCTTAGAGTATATCATATGTGATCTAAAAGGAATAGACTTAGGAGAGAAAACACACAAATAGTTCTTCTTAGCCTTAGTAGGAAACTGAATTTAAATGGCCAAATATCCTGTTGCCATACTGTTCTCTGCCTTGAATTTCACATTGGTTTTATGTTTTGTTTTGGTCCAAGTCATGGAATGAGTTATTCTGTCAAGTCCTAAATACCATAGAATTCAACTGTATTTTGTCTGGAAGCTGCTGCTTTTCCAGTGAAAAAAAAGTCACAGTGAAGTAAGTCATAGCCATTTTTGAAATTCCTTGAATGTGCTATGTTCAGTAATAAACAAATGCACACTTATTTTTTGCTGTAAGCTAATTCAGGTTCTCACATGGAGGGTCTTTTAATCTTTTTAGATGTAGTATTAATATCACAGTAGTACTTAAAAACTCCAGCTGTTTAATCACTCCACTATGATTAATACTGTTCAAACATCTAGCAGGACTGTGCTTTTCCAAAAGAGATGAGAGCCCTAATTCAGAAAATGCAGTCCTATTAGTAGATGGTTAAAGGAAACACAGCGGAGACAGCTTGTTCAGAGGCACGTAAGAAGTTGTCTGTGACAGAACTAGCACTCTCAAACCCCCAGCAGGTGCTGTAAATACAGAGATGTTCTTTTTCAGTCTAATTCTTCTCTTTCTGTCTCTGCAGCTTGATCTTCTGTGGACCCGGAAACAGAATGTGATGTACCATTTATTTGACTGGCCAACTCAAAAACACTCCAAGTTAATCATCCTGGCCATTGCTAACACCATGGACTTGCCAGAGAGAATAATGATGAACAGAGTAGCTAGCAGGCTGGTATGTTCTAGCAGTTTTGTTGCTATGCTAGAAAATGAGAACAGATTAAATACTGTAAGCAGTCAAAAGTAATTCAGGAGAAAGGTAGGATTGGTTACATCAGAGGTTAAACAATGCTTTTATAATTCCCTTTCCTCTCCAGAGGGCAGATAATGAACACATAAATCTTAGCAAAGTAATCCAGTTGCTAATCAGATGTTATGCCATGTAAGTACATTGTGTTCTTTTAAGAATGAATTAAGAATGCAGATGTCTTTTTAAACATATTAAGATCTGGGTAATCAAACGCTGTGCTTCATGGTTAAGCCGCTTAATCTAGCGTTCAGAGGAGTTCTTTTTTTGGCTTCCCTTCCTCTTTTCCCCTTTCATTCCAGGCACCTAGTTACTTCTCTCTGTTTGCAATCATCTGCTGGTAGATTCTTCTGTCCAAAGGTATCCAAGAAAGTAAGTTGGATACACTCTACAGCCGCATTAAATACATTTTCCTAGGTCATCACCTCGTCACTGCTCTAAAAAGTGATTTACAAAAACAGTGCTCCATGCCTCCCTCATTCTGTGACTCAAAAATAGTCCTACAGTGTGTGAATTGCTTTCCCCCAACTGCTAAACCTGCAGATCAGCTGAGTCCACAAGAGAGAATAATTTTGCATAAGAAATGCAAAATTCAAGCCTCCTGCAGAATATGAAAGGCAGTGCACCATCTATAATGTAGATTGTCCTTCTCATCTGAAAGCAGTTTTTATTAGCTTGAGCCAGAAGACAATTTAATTCTTGGCTGGTTGCTAATGTGAAGCCAGTAGTATGACTGTATACATGTATACAGATTTGCTAAAGGAGAAATTAATATTTTTTCATAGCTTCTGCTGTTACTGAATCAAAAAATAAAGTGTAAACAGTTGTAATCAAAAGATTTTTTGTATTAGGTGCCTCTGATTTGTTTACAAGTTTTGTAAGAGAAATTTGAATTCTAATATCAGCAGCACTTGCTCCTCAGGCCTTTCAGTGGGGAGATCCAACTGGTGGTCCTCACTTAGTTTTGTGGATTTGCACATTTATTTCACAAATGTGAAGTGGAAGAATTGATTAAAGCATATCACTTAGAGGTAGAGGTTGTGAAAGGGAGATTGCTCCTATTAGAGAAAATAAAACCGCTACCTGCTAGAGAAGTTTAGAGTTTTCAAGCACTACAAACACTCTCATGGTATTGTATTATTTACTCTAGGGCCTCACCAGAATGTCCTTTCAGCCCTACACCTACAAACAGTTACAGCAAATTATTTCATCCAGACTGAACAGCATGAAGGCATTTGAAGAGGATGCAGTTCAGCTGGTTTCCAGAAAGGTAAGGACAGTACAGATGTAGGTCCTTTGTGTTGTGCTAGGTAAAGAGTGTGGGGGGTGGCGGGGGAGAATTTTGTAACAGTAGTCAGACTTGGCTCTGTGGTTCTGTGTTCTGTACTGGAGACAAAGCGGGATGCAAGTAGCAGATCATACACTATGCTCTCTGTAAGCTATACGGGGTATTTTCACAGGAAACATTGCTAAAGCAACATCCTTACTTTTTCCACCTACTTGGGGAAGGCAGCAGTATATTCCAAGAGCTGAAGGCGTGACAACAAGAGTCATGATAATGCGTAATGATGTCAGCTTTCTCCAGTGTTTGGCATAATGTGAGTCACTGGATGATCTTGGGAAAAAAATTAGTATGCCAGTGGCGGTGGAAATACCCACGTTCATTTTCTTTCTCAAGATGTTTAAAACCTTGTCATGATAGATAGTACCTCTTCCGTTGCCTGTCTTAATGCTCAGTTGTACAAAAAATAATGCATTAGTAATCAGTAGTTTCTCAAAATAAGATGCATGCATTGTTTAATGTCTCATGTTAGTAATTAGATATTAAAATAATCTATTAAACTTATGTTAGAACAACTGTCAGCCAGTATATGCTTAAACTTTTTCTGCTAAGCATCTTTGTAGGATTAAAAAAAAAGTACTCATAAATATGTTAGAAGTAAACATAAGCATTTGTTTTATTATGAAGGATCCACCTTTTTGTAAGAATAATAGTGATGATTTTGAAGACTGAATAATCTGCAGTGGTTTTCTACTATGATTTTTCTTAAGAAAATCTAGAAAAATAACTTGCAATTAGATTTTTCTAAAGTGTTTTCTTATTCTTGGCTCTAGCTGAGTTCTAGGGCTTTCATATGTTATCAGCATCTACTGGGAAAACTAGGCCCATAGTCTTATCTAGCAAATGTTTGTAGCTATACTAAAATTGTAAACCACAAATGGGGTTTTTAAGAAGTATTTAGTTTCAGAAATTTTGGACACCTAAAAATTTTCAGGTACTTGTAAGTGTAAATCCACTATCCCAGGTGTTTCTTTGAGACCTACTAAATAATATTAGTGTACTCTTAAAATCAGTATTCTATTGAGTATGGAAAAACTGAGGAGTTTTTGCCCCTCTTGCCCCTTTTGTTTCTTTGCATCAACATGGATCATAGTAGGGTCTTTATTGTTAACATTTCTGAAAACTTTTGGTGTTGAATTGAACTGCTCACATTGAATTTCCTGAATATTTTTTTTTAACTTCTGACTTCTGTGGTTATAGAAAAAAGTTCAGTCCTGAATTTGTGATGACCAGATAGGGGTGGGGGAGTGTTGCTTCTGTTGGTTTTGGTCAATAAGGTTGTTATTTAATATTTGGGATTCTAGTAACATAGTTTACAGTAGCATTGCTCTCATTGTTTTGTTGTCAGTTTGGGGTTTTTTGTCTATTGATTCTTGCTAAACTCTTTTCTCAAGTTGTAGGAAATATCACTACAAACCTGTCATGTTTACTTTCAGGTTGCAGCACTGTCTGGTGATGCAAGGCGTTGTCTTGATATCTGCAGAAGGGCCACTGAGATCTGTGAGTTTGCTAGCCAGAAGAGAACCCCTGAAATAGTCAGGATGGCCCATGTAACAGAAGCCATAGATGAAATGTTTTCATCACCATATATAAACGCAATCAGGTAAAAAAATTTCTCAGAGGAATTTCTTCAGTTTTGTGTCTTTTTTCACTGGGCTATGTTTTCAAAAATATTCAGTCTGTCCTCACCACCCTTTGGGAGCACCTGTGTGATGCATTGTGCTTTGTCGAAGTATGATACAAAACAAGCCTTGCAGCCCAGCTTGGGGAGAGAGGTACAAAATAGGAATTAAAGACGGGGAAAAAAAGGCATAGAAATCACTTGTACAAGTTTATACAGGATGTTTCCATGTTAATGTGTTAGCTCAGATAGGAGGGGGCTTTTGAGATTTCCTTATTGTCCCTGCTTTACTGTACATTGATTTCACTAAGCAGCAATTTCCAAGTACATATATTTGAATTCCTTCCAGTTGGAACTAAATCTGGAAGATACACCCAGGAGCCAACAACTACAAACACTACTGGTTATTCAGCAAACTGGACCAGATTTTGAGCTAGACTGAAGGAAAAAAACCACTCAGATGTGCATAGCGTAGGCACTGGGTCCCCAAAACTCAACTGTTCCCCTCTACATATCCGCTTGTATTATGCCACTGTCTTTGCTCACTTAGAAGCAGACACGGAATGCAAGACTCTCCCATTTCAACTGGTTTCTTTAACATAAATAGATTCCGTTAGGACTTCCAAAAGATTTTCTGAGGGAATACATGTGAGGAATTCTGTTGCCCTTCAGTGCTCTGCACAAGCTGTAACTGGTGAAGTGCTTTACTGGTTTCTGGTCAAAAGGAAGAGAATCTCTTTCAGCAGGGAAGGGGGGACTAAGAGGTGCAAATGTGGTATTTTGCTGGATGTGTAAGTACGGCTTCTACTGTGCTACTTGGGCCTGAAAACCTCAATGTTAACTTGTTAATTCATAAATGTAAGTTGACCGTAACATACTGCAGAACATGTATAATGTATGGAATGAAATGTTGTGTTCAGATACATTGAAAGAAAGGTGAGGTGAAGTGAAATGCAGTGTATTGTGGTGCCAGAGTTGGAGGCTGTAGTATAATGGCTAGTTGACATGAACTACCCCTCTCGGGTTGAAAAATACCCTGCATTTAAAATGTGGTTACCAAGCAATTTTCCTTCTAGACTTCTTTCTAAGGTTTCATAAGTTCTAAACTTGGCAGACTGATTTTTGTCTGTTTTCTTTTGGTATTTCATTGCATGAACAAATCTTTTTGAAAGCAACTTTAGCAGAGTTTCGCAGAGCAGGAGTTGAGGAGGCAACAGTTCAACAGGTATGTTTGTGTTCAGAGTATTTTTTCTTTTACAAAAGGGGGGCACTGTCAAAATTAGCAGGCAAAAGTGTGACTATTTAAATATTTGGGGGTTTTATTCTTAAAATTTAATGAAAGACAATATGATAGCAAGGTAAATTGGGGCATGGCTGTCCAGGCCAGGTGTAAAGCCTATTTGACTGCTACCACCTGTTTTTCAATGGGACTAAATACTTATAATAGGAAACACCTGCTGTTGTATTAATGTTACCAGTGATCTGGATCACAAAGTGATTTTTTTTTTTTTTTGGCCTGCACCTGAAAATATTGCATGCCTCCACCTAACATGCTTTACAACAGGAAAAAATAGTAGAGAACATGAAAATACCAGTTTGAGGAGGAAAAACTGAAAGTTGATTCCAACTTGTGTATCGCTGTCTTTCTCAATAGAGGCTGGTATATTACTAGTAGCTGTGTGGTTTTTAGTAGACCCATAAAATTCTTGGCACCAGCAGACCTGTGAATACTCTGCACGGAGTCCATGTCATGATTCACAGAATGGAGGCTATATGCTAATACTTATAAAAATGTTTAGAACTATGTATTTATATATAAAATAACCTGCCAGTTTTATCTTGTTCTACAGGTTTGAAAGTAAGCATTTTAATTGCGTTCTCTGTTACTGGCTCCTGAACATCTGCATCAGTTGGTTGTGTAGATACACACAATCTTTGTGTATTGGTTCTTGAACTTCAAGGAATATTTTGTTAGACCAATTTGTTACATTTTCCCCTTAGTTTTCCTTTAACACCAAAAAGGTTTTCTTCTGCTTTTTCTAAATGGAAAAGCAGAAGACCCCAGCTGATTCTTGTTACAGATTTACTAGTCTACACGATTGTGAGTGCATTCTCCTGTGTTTAAAGGTGTATCGTGGCTTTCTAAGCTGTCATCTTTCATGTTTGTAGCCAGTGTGACTCATGCTTATTCATCACTGGGCCTAAATACCACTTCTGAGCAGACTGATTTGTAGTTAGCTGTATGTTAGCTCTTAATCTTCTGGATAAGCTTTAGTCCACATAGTCCAGGGCAAAAGACATGTAGTGACAGATAAAATGATTGATTTAAAATTGCAGACAAGGTAGGTTGCTGATTGTTTTGCTTTTTGGCTGTATAAAAAGGAAACCATAGCTTGGAATAGGACTTTGTCAAGGAAGTAGCAAACTGTTGTGCTGAACCAGCAGCATGAACCGTTGGTGCCGAACCAGGCACTGGAATGGGCTGCCCAGGGAAGTGGTCAAGTCCCCATCCCTGGAGGTATTTAAAAGATGGGTAGACAAGGTGCTTAGTGGTGGGATGGCAGTGTTAGGTTAACGGTTGGACTTGATGATCTTAAAGGTCTTTTCCAACCTAAACGATTCTATGATTCTATGTGCGCGTTTCATCTGAACTGACTGGAGCTAGTTTTTCCTCCCCATAGATGTGGAGGGAAGGAAGCTTCTCTTTTTTTCACCTTAACCTACTAGACTGCAGCAGGAGTTAAACATGACCTGTGTCCTTTCCTCTGTTTGAATAGGTCTATCATCAACACCTCGCGTTGTGTAGAATTGAAGGCATGCAGAGTCCTACAATATCAGAAATTATGGCAATTTGTTCAAGACTCGGCGCCTGCAGGCTTTTGCTGGTGGAGTCCAGTAATAAGTATCTTCACATGCGGGTGCGGCTAAATATCAGTCAGGACGATGTCATGTATGCACTCAAGGATGAGTAAGACAATAGAGATGTTATTTTTCTTATATGTATAAATATTTTAAATATTGTCTATTTTTATTTTTTAAATTGTTGATAAGATGGAAATAGTGATGTGTTTTTTTCTAAACACGTTTCTTAAATGTTTGATGTATTAAAGCACTTTTTATATAATAAAGACTTTGCTTCAAAGCATTTTAAGTGTGTGAAATCAAATTACTTGTTTTTAAAATACTTGTATGTGCTGGTAGCTGGTCCCCTTTCAGCTGAGGTATGTGAACTGAAATTGATTGCTTGCATCACTGCTAATGCTAAGGAGCTTTTTCTGTCAAGACTAGCACTGTCCTGGTGGCATTGCAGTTGATGTAGCTTTTCTTCATTGACTTTTGTTGAGTATAAAAGACATCATTAAAATGTGCTTAAACTTACCTTACGGATACAATGAAAAGGAACTTTCAGTTTGCAATCAAGGCTGAATATTTGAATTGAGGAGACTGTGCTACCAGGAAAGAGAAAATACCAGAGGAAGTTTGTCATTCAAGTAACCAACTTTTTTTTTTTTTTTTTATTGATTGATCTCAAGGATTGCCTGAAAGAAATTGCCCCAGGTAATACAGGTCTGTTGAAATCTGCTTTTGTAATTGAACTGTTTGCCAAAATATATTAGTTGTTAGGAGATGGATAGCTTGAAAACACTTTCTAAAATTGTGTTGCTGTGGAACAGGCTTCAAGAATTGTTCTTGTTGAGTGATCTTAGTAAATAAAAAATGGAAGTGGCCTAAGCTGCAGGTACTAGAAATGTGATTTCTGACAGGGAGCTGACTTCTGTAAGATGAGACAGTGAGTGCGTAGGTGTCTGTTCAGCTGCCCTGGCGCACTGAATGTGATCTCTGTAAGATGGCTGCAGTTTGCATAGTGGACTAAAAACCTCGTAGCAGCTTCAGAAAAGTGTAAAAAGGGGTGTTGAGTAGACTTGTGGGCCAGAAAAATTAACGTCACTGGGATTCTTTATGGTGGTGTACTTCCTAAATGCTGCAGGTGATTGTTAATCCATTTATTAATGCAGATTGTTGGAACTGGTGAGTTGGAATTTCAGCTGTTCAGCATCAGAATGCCTAAATGAAAAGTGGGGGGGGGGGGCTGTACAGCAGTATGTAACCACTGTCAGTGCTAGGGGGGAATAAACAGGCAGCGCG